ACTCTTGCTCAAGCCAACACGACAAAGGATATGTGGGGATGCATCATGGCGCGGTTCGACTGCATGGGCAACCATGCACAAGTGGCTCTCCTCCGGGATCTCATCACTACACGGATGGACCCAACAACAAGTCTTCGCTCCTACTTTGATCGAGTTGGAAACCTTACACACCAACTCAAATCTGCCGGCTTTGAGCTACCATCATGGGTGGTGGTAATCTCCATCATCCTCGACCTTCCGGACTCGTTCAAGACCCTTACTGAAACCATTTGCACCGTGAAAGACATAAAGTCTATGACGGTTGAATACCTACAGTCACGCCTACTCGATGCCGATTGGGAGCGGTCACAATCTGGTACAAGCCGTAACATGGAGGGTGCATACAACCTCAATTCCCAGCCCTCCCACCCTCTTCGCTCCGGTTCACGCCAGTCGCCCACCTGCCGTTACTGCAAGAAAACGGGTCACACCATCGATGAATGCTTCAAATTGAAGAAGAAGAAAGAGCTTGAAGAAAGCTCTAAACGGGAGAAATCCGTCTTCCAACCCTCGGTGCATGTCTCCACCAGCTCCTCTGCTGAAGCTACTCCGACCCCCACACCACCTCCTGCCCCATCAACCCCTCAGTCCGTACCTGATTCCCGGTACGTGGACATTGCTGTCAGCACCAGCCACCACCCCATCTTCTCCACATGGACTCCTCTCGTCGCTGCTGTCTTCATTCTCACCATCCTCCTTCTCCTCCTCCTCTTCCCTTATGGGGCTCCCTACGCATCGGCATTCACGGCCTCCTCATTCAATATGGAGCGGACTTCGTCGTGGCTGGTGGACAGCGGCGCATCCTCCCATATCTGCTCGGATCGTTCGCTATTTTCGTCTCTCAAGAAGCCCAACAAAGAGATCCTTGTTCGTTTTGGTGGAGGAGAGACTTACAAGGTCTTGGGAGTCGGCACGGTGGTGGCTACTCTTCGGTCACCAACATCGGAAACCACCATTCAGCTTGACAACGTTCTATTTCTCCCTTCATCAGTTCACAACCTGCTCTCTGTTCGTGCGCTTGGTGCTGCCGGCGTTGCCGTCTCGTTCCCCGCTGCTGGGCGCGTTGTTCTCACATCTGATGACGTTCCTATTGGCGAGGGCTACACCCGCAACAATCTGTTTTATCTTCAACTGCATCATGGGAGCAGTGCTGCTCCTTCTATCAAGCCAACTGCATATCCAGCCTCCACCACCACCTCCTCGTACCTCTGGCATCGTCGTTTCGGGCATCTCAACATGCAGGCCTTGTCAACACTTCATCGGCAGCAGCTGGTCACCGGTCTTCACCTCTCCTCCACCTCGATTCCCCCCTGCATCTCGTGCTATCGTGGGAAACAAACACGTCAGCCATTTGGCGTGTCCCATTCTCGCACCACAGCCCCACTCCAACTCATTCACTCAGATATTGCTGGACCGCTTTCATATGGAACTACCATTGGCGGCGCTCGCTACCTTCTCACCTTCATCGACGACTACTCCCGCCACATTACAGTGTATCTCCTACGCCACCGGTCGGAGGCACTTTCATGCTTCAAGGCTTACATCACTCGGGTGCACAACATGCATTCCCCACACACCATCAAAACCTTTCGCTCTGACGGTGCCTTGGAGTTCACTTCCAAAGCCTTCACTTCATTCCTCACAGCTCATGGCATCGCCCGCCACCTCTCCACGCCATACACACCTGAGCAAAATGGAGTAGCTGAGCGGGCCAACCGGACTTACTTGAGATGGTCCGTTCCATGCTCCATGATGCACACATGGACAAAGGCTGGTGGGGTGAAGCCGCTCTTACTGCTGCCTATCTTCGTAATCATGCCATTAGTCGGGGTGGTTCAACTTCTAAGACTCCCATGGAACTATGGACCGGTGCACGTCCGGATGTATCACACCTCCGCATCTTCGGTTCACCCGTCTCGGTCCTCATTCCTTCCCAACGGCGTTCTAAGCTCGACGACCGAAGCACGGCCGGCATCATGGTTGGATATGGTCATCTCGACGGCACCAAAGCTTACCGCATCTATATCCCATCTCAGCACCGTGTCATCCTTTCTCGTGATGTCATCTTCATGGAGCCCTCTGCACCGCCTTCTGACGACTCTCGCGACCCTCCATCGTCATCTCCACCCACATCCTCCTCACTACCTCCTCCTACACACCCTTCTTCCTTGGACCCAATCTCCCCTCCCTCTCCTTCCCCCACCATACCTTCCTCCACCAACCCCCACCCACAATCCCCAAACCTGCCCGCACCAGCCACATCTTCTCCTCCTCCATTGTTTTCCAACCTTCCTCTGCCCTCGACGCCGCAAGACTTTCACCTTCCATCCTTCTCTCCTCCCTCTTCGCCTCCCCCTCCCCATTGCACGACTCGCTCCTCCCCGCCATCCCCTTCAGCTCTTCCTGATCCTTCCCTTTTCTCCTTCCTCAAGGTCTTACCATCCCCTTCCGAACCCATTGACTTCACTCTTCCTCCTCTTTCCAACACCTCTGCCAATGCTGCCCTTCACCATCATTACGAACCTCAAACCATTCATGAGGCTCGTACCGGCCCTGATGCTGCCGAATGGATCAAGGCTGCTGATGCGGAACTCGCTGCCCTGCACGCTAATGACACCTACAGCATTGTTCCTCGACCACCCAAGTGCAAGCCGATTCCATGCAAATGGATTTTCAAGGTCAAGGAGAACCCTGATGGTTCTATTGAACGCCGCAAAGCCCGCCTTGTTGTCAAAGGCTTCAAGCAACGTGATGGTGTTGATTTTCATGACACCTTTGCTCCTACCGTCCGCTTCGCCACCCTCCGCTTGTTTCTCACCATAGCTGCCGCTTTCAACCTGGATGTCCATCAGCTGGACATCTCCAACTCCTTCCTCAACGGCACCCTTGATGAGATTCTCTACATGATGCAGCCTCCGTGGTTTAAAAGGGCTTATAACTATACTTGAGAAAGGAACCCCCACACAACCCACTCCTTTCATTAATAAAGACAGAAGTCAAGAAGAGGAGAGGGGAAAGTTTTAGGAAGGAGGGGACGGGGAAGGGAGTGAATTAAGATTGAGTCTTGGAAGTTGGATAACGGGTCCTAAAGTGGTAGGTTGTAAACTGCCTAATCAGGTCCTTGAGATGCACTCATAGATGCCATGCCACCAAACGCCTGCCCATACACAATCTAATCTTCTCCCATATGACAATGCTGCAGCTTATGCAAACACCAAAATGGCCATTAGCACCATGCTTGCACTGCCAGGCAGCAAGAGCCTCATCCCAACATCTCCATCAGTCTCTCTCTCACTCTGGTGGTACGTTGTAATCTGCACCAATCATCGAGTAATCCATCGGAGGTAGACCAATGGAGCTGCAAGCTGGGGGCCGTGCATAGGTATGCAAAAGGAGGTGGGGAAAGGGGTGCTCATGCAACAAACTGACTGGTGCTGTGCTATTCGAACAAAGAGCAGCAACGGTTGGGAAGTGGAGAAAGCTCAAAGCACGAAGCACAGACAGTAAGCGATGTACATGGAAGCAAGGATGTGAAGAGGAGAGAAGCGAGGTTTAGAGAGAAGCAAAGATGTGAAACAAGAAGAAGAAGAAGAAGAAGAAGAAGAAGGAGACGGTACAGGGTTGTGAGTGCAGTGAGGCGGCTGATGTTGCACAGGTGACTTCCATTGAGAGCTGCGCCCATGAGGTAACTGGGCAATATTCGAGGGAAAAAGAATCACGCACACACCCATGAGGTAACAGGAATCACGCACGCACGCACGGTGCACGCACGGGCGCGAATGTGCACGCGCGCGTACACACATACACAACACACGCGCTCGCTCACATTCACACTACTGGCATGCCTGCATTAGTTTCTCCAATGCCTTCCCTGTGTCACACGAAAGGCATGCAAGTTCACCCCACAATAATCCCAGCATGTTCCCATGGCACAGCCACTTTGCCCTTGCAGTGTTCCCTCTCTTCTACTATCCATGATGCACTGCATGCACTGCCCCGCTCTTCAACTATCTCCCCATTATCACTTGCGTCCACTGGAGCGAACTCACAGGGAAGTAACCATGCCTTGTGGATTACACTCCGCACATGCGTCCTCTGTCGCCCACTCATCGCACATCGCACTTGATAGGTTGTGCTTCAACAGACCCCATTCTCCGTCCAGGGCTAGCAGCGCTTGCACTTGGGGAGGCGTGGTAGAGGAAGTGGATACAAGAAAGCAATGAAGAGCTGAATTCAGTGCTCATCTACCAGCCTTTCAATGATAGCTTTTGTGAAAATCTATCGCTGGTTGTTCCTAAAGCATTGTCGGTTCAACCGATAATTGTAACATCACAAAAATCCTGCGTCCGGAAAGCCGATAAAAAGAGTTGCTTTGGAGCTTTGTCGAATGATTTATAAACGTAATGTTTTGAACGCTTTTTTGAGAAAGTATAGGGCGCTTTCCAAATGCTTTGTCGAACGCTTTTCAAATGCTTCTGCAATGCTTCTCTGTTCAAACCTACCAGGTGAAAACCTTCGGCAGAAGTTTGGTTCGAGTTTCTGCAGAGCAATTTCGGGGATCGGATATCATTGCAATGTACTCTTTATGGACTTTGAGTTTCATTAAAATAAGCTTAGATTAGAGGCTTGCAAGACGTTACATGTTTAAAAATATGTTTAGTTGCCTTATCCTTGCATTCAAAATAAACATAATAGAAGCTTAGGTAAAAGCATATTATTCACACCTAAACATGCACATAAAACAACATCCTAATCCCACCCTGACTAGTCAAACATACCGCTCGGTAGGTTGATATGCATCATCCTACAACCTGCTTCTCATGCTCCTGTACACTATGTCTCCCACTCCACCCCAACTCTCGTGCTCTAGGCCGAGCGTGCCCCTGCGTCCACTGCTTCCTTGCATGTTCTACCCTCTCATGCGTCAGCTTCTCCGCCCCTGGCGCTCTCCAGTCATGCCTTCACTGCTCCTTGCTTTGTCCTCTCCATCCATGCCTAACCTGCTTGCCCCCTTGCGCCACTACCGTCTTTAATGCTGCCCCCCTTTCTCTATCCGCTCGTGCCTTTTCTGCTGTCCCCCTTAGCTCTCTCCACTCATGCCTGTTCTGCTGCACCCCCTTGCTTTCTCCTCCAGTTGCCTCGTGTTTTGCCCCCCCTTGCACACTCCTCACATTGCATCTCCTGCTGCCCCCCATGCTGACTCCACTCTTTTGCCTCTCCTGCTGCCCCCCATGCTGACTCCACTCTTTTGCTCCTCCTGCCCCCCATGCTGACTCCACTCTTTTGCCGTGGGGCTGCCTCCCATGCTGACTCCACTCTTTTGCCTCTCCTGCTGCCCCCCATGCTGACTCCACTCTTTTGCCTCTCTTGCTGCCCCCCAAGCTGACTCCACCAATGCCTCTACCTCCGTATTGATGTCTCCTCGCAAGTATGTGCTGCCTCTCTTGCTGCCCCCCTTTGTAAACTCCACTCATGCCTCATCTGCTGCCCCCCTTGTTTGTCACCCCACCTCTTGGCCCTCTTGCCTCCCCATCTTTTGCCACTCTTGTGTCTTTTGCCCTTCCTCCGCCCCTGGCCCCCCTGCTTCTCATCCTCATCCTCATCATCTTCCTCCTCTTCCTCCTCTTCCTCCTCTTCCTCCTCTTCCTCCTCTTCCTCTTCCCTCCTGCCTCCCTTGCCTCTGCCTCTCTTGTGCGTTCTGCCCTTCCTCCGCTCACGCCCCCTCTGTTTCTCATCATCCTGCCCCTCCTCTTCCTCCTCCTCTTCCTCTTTCTCTTCCCTCCTGCCTCCCTTGATTTTCCCTCTCTTCTGCCTTCTGCCCTTCCTAAGCCCTTGCCCCCCCCGTTTCTCATCCTCCTCCTCCTCCTCTTCCTCCTCCTCCTCTTCCTCCTCCTCCTCTTCCTCATCCCTCTTGCCTCCCCTGATTTTGCATCTCTTGTGCCTTTTGCTCTGCCTCCGCTCCTGCCCCCACTGTTTCTCCTCCTCCTCCTCCTCCTCCTCCTCCTCCTCCTCCTCCTCCTCCTCCTCCTCCTCCTCCTCCTCCTCGTCATCCGTCTCCATGTCCTCCCTGTCATACACCTCCTGCTCTTCCTCCTTCAGGTCCTTCCTCTCCTCATCAGGCTCGGCCGTCCCCTGGAACGCCTCAAATCCTGACTCGTGAACATACAGCCCACGGTCGCCCCACTTGAAGCCCTGCACGTCTGTGTTGTACACGGGGGTGTGGCATCTAAAGTGGTCTTTGATGATCCACCGCACATTACGGTGCAAACCCGTCATCCATTCAGTGTTTTTCCGGTGGGAGTTGGAGACGTTCAAGTCAGTCTTCTTAACCTTTGCCAAGCCCTGGTCATCTGAAAAAGCATAGCAAGGTATGGGAAGGAGGGGAAACAAAGACTTCAGTGGACACTCGCGTGCAGAGTTTACGGGCTGCGCAAATAGCCCCACATACCATGCCGGCGGGCTAGTAGAGCATGCCAAGCTAGAGCATACTGATAGTTGAGCAATAATGTCTTACCACCATGATTGACCAGGCTATGTGGTAGGCTTTGACGCACACCCGGCGCCCGACACAGAGATTCCGAAATGATTCCCGGACCGCATCTACAAATCGGCCGTTGGTGAACGGGAGCCCTTCTCTGTTGTTGCCCCACGAGCTGACCCGCTGATTCCTTCCTGCATGCACGCATGACAATGTGTGGCAGCATGTGACATGCGTGATCATGCATGGCATGGTTAGGGGTCGTCCATAGGGTATGGATAAAGGGGAGGGCGGTATAGAATGAATGGAGGGAGGGCGGGAGGGCGGGAAAGAAGGGGAGGGCGGGAGAGAAGGGGTTTAGGGAGAGAAGGGGAGGGTGGGAGATTTCGGGAAGGGCGGGAGAGAAGGGGAGGGCGGGAGAGAAGGGGAGGGCGGGAGAGAAGAGGAGGGCGAAAGAGAAGGGGAGGGTGGTAGAGAAGGTGAGGGCGGTAGAGAAGGTGAGGGCGGGAGAGAAGGGAAGGGCGGTAGAGAAGGGGAGGGCGGGAGATTAAAGGGGGGGCGAGAGAGAAGGGTAGGGCGGGAGAGAAGGGGAGGGCGGTAGAGAAGGGGAGGGCGGGAGAGAAGGGGAGGGCGGGAGATTAAAGGGGGGGCGGGAGAGAAGGGTAGGGCGGGAAGGAAGGGGAGGGCGGGAGATTAGAGGGGGGGCGGGAGAAGGGGAGAGTGGGAGAAGAACCAACGTATTGCTGTCATGCGAATGTGTTTGCACATGCGCTACAAGCTTGGCCAAGGAGCTATGGTATGTAGTTGCATGCTACCCGCCTCATTCACCGCACTTCATGGTATGTACTTCATCATTGTGGGGCATGCACGAGGGGTGCATGAGCAGACATGTCGATAGGGGAAGTAAAACAGCAACAGCAGTAAGTACTCACTCGGTTGGTATTTTTTCCACACCTTCTTCTTCTTGGTGCCCATCCAAAGATCGCGGGCACGCAGGCCTTCCACCTTCTTGCCGAAAGTTACGAGCACTCTGCGCTTGAGGTGGAAGCCACGATCGTTCTTCCATGACGTCCAAGCGCGTTTAAAGACGTCGACGATGTTTTTCTCCTCCATAGCCTCTCGCAGCTGCGTCATGTTGATAATGTGCGTCTCGCTCATAACTTGATACAAAACCTGCAGGCGCTGTTCGAGCGTTGGGTAGAAGTCTATGGCATTGTCTGGCCATTCTAGGCACATCCGGTCCCGCCCCACGACGAAATGAACCTATGACGGACGGGTGGATTGGAAAAGTAAAATCGAATGATGCCTCCGAATGAAGGGCGGAATTCTGAGGTTGAGAGAGAGGGCTATTGCTATCACTGCGCCGCATGCCACCTACACCAACAACAGCACCATGAACAGGAGCTCTGGTTGAGGTAAGGGAGTGATGGGAGAGAGAGGGGGGAGAGAGGGGATGAAATCGTCCAAGTGAAATCATATGGGAGAGGGGGGCAGAGTGTGAGCACCGTACGCCCAGCGTTGTTGTTCATGTTTTCCTCTTACAAGGTGTCACAACCCCCTCTGCAGCCCGGCCCGCTACACGCTGCGCCGCATGCCACACGCGCGACAAGCAGCACCGTTAGGAGGGGCTCTGGAAGAGGAGGGAGAGGGATGGGATAGAGAGGGGAGGGGGGAGCGGCGGAAAGAAGGGGTTGGGCGTGTGGGGTTCACAGCGAAGGCTGCTGCTATCTCTGCGCCGCATGCCCCTGCATGAGACCAGCAGCACCGTTTGGAGGGGCTCTGGAAGAGGAGGGAGAGGGATGGGATAGAGAGGGGAGGGGGGAGCGGCGGAACGTGTTGGTGCAACCCTACGGTTTGCACTCGGCTTGTTGTCCGTGTGCGTGCATGTGTGTGTGTATGGAATGGTATGAGGGCATGGGATAATATATATTTCATGCTTATAATTGTGTGTGAATGTTGAGTCATGATGTCGAGTGTATGTGTCGAGTCAATAGCGAGTTATCGCTAGACGCGTGTTACGCGGTCGTTTGTGTCTCGCGCGCGGTTTCTATTTTTGTCGTGCGCGGTTTCTATTTTGTCCTGTGTCGAACGTTCGGTGTGTCGCAGGTGTGTGCAGCAGACCCATCAAGAACTCAAGGATGAGTTTGTGATGAAGAGCCTGAGCCTTGGTGTCAAGCCTCAAGTGATTTTGAAGCTCGCCAAAAGGGTACACCTCAAGATATTGAAGATAGTTACATCACTTTGTGTAGTGTAACATTTCACTTGGTGTAGGCCCTAGTGAAGGGTAGTTTCGAGACCCTTCGTGGTTGGGGACAGTGTGGCACTGTTCCACATCACTGTACCTCGGCTCTTGGGGTTTGTAGGAGCTGGGAGTCATTCCCAACTCGTAAACTCTTCATATCTCTTCCTATTTTGTGTTCTAAGACTATAGTGGCTGCCATAGTGCTGTTCGTTCAAACCGACACTGTGTCGTCAATACTTGGTGAAATTGTGCGATCTAAATTGCGTATTGTAGGCGACGTTCACACGCTCCAGATCCAAGTTGAATCAGGTCATTTAAAGTTGTGACCAGAACGCTATGAACGTTTGAAGCCGCTGTGCAGAAATCCGGCTGTGCACTCTATCTTTCGTTTTAGGCACATTGGAGCCTATTGTGACTATAACAAGTGGTATCAGAGCCCCTTGGAGCAGTTTCGACAATGGCTGGACCTGAGGAAAGGGGTGGTAGAGATGCTGGTGGCAAAGGAGAAGCCCAAGCTCAAGGCCAACCCCGTGATTCAGCCATGGCGCCTGTGCAATCAAGTGTTGGCCCATCTAGGGATGAGCCTAGAGTGTTTGGCCTTGACAAGTTCAATGGTGACAACTTTGCTGAGTGGTCCTTCAGAATGGAGAACATATTTGACCACTATGACCTGCTGGAGGTAATGGAAGGAACGGAGAAGCGTCCCGAGAACGACCCGGAGAAGAGCCCGTGGGTGCGAAAGAGCGCACAAGGCTACCTCCTACTTGGGCAAGCGTTGGGGAGCAGCCAAATCCGTCACATCAAGCCTTTCCAGCATGGACCAGAGTAGGGACCAAAGGCATGGGCTGCTCTCAAGGGTGTACACGCTCCTGCAATAGCGGCGGTAGCTGTGGTGTTGGAACGGCAAATGGCGACACTACGAATTGAAGAGGATGAAGCGGTTGAAGAAGGGGTGCAGAAATTCTTCGACTTGTTGACGCGGCTTGAGGGAGCTGATTTGAACTATAGTGAGCTCCAAAAGAAGACCAAGTTGCTGGCCCTACTCCCTGAGTCATGGTCCTCGCTCATCATCAACCTTAATCGCGACTTGCCCCGCCTCTCGCTTGAAGACGTGAAGCGAGCTATCCTTCAAGAGGATTTCCGCCGCCGTGAGTTGGTGGGTGCGGATGGCGCTGGGGCAGCGAGCATCGGCCGTGGATATGGTCGAGGAAGAGGTAGAGGACGAGGGGGAGGAAGGTTTGGTGGCAGCAACTTCGGCGGAGGCCGCGGGAGTGGCGGTTACGGCAGCGACGACAAGAGCTACGGACGCGGTCGCGGCCGATTCGACGGCGAGTGTCACTATTGCCACAAGAGCAGACACATGTGGCGCGACTGCTACAAACTCCCTGATGGTTGGACCCTTGCTCAAGGCCAAGAGGGTATAGGAGCAGGAGGAGGGAGAGGAAGAGACCGTGGAGGCCGTGGCGGTCGCGGTGGTGGAGCTGCAAACATGAAGAGCGGAGACAACGACAAGGACCCGAGCAACGATCGGTACCCGGGTCCATTCTACTTCGTGTCGACGCAAGTACCGACTGGTCCAGAGAAGGATGAAGGCTTCGAGGAGCCAGTAGCTGTGGGGAAGGTGACTCTACACCCTCTGGACTATTGGGTGATCGATAGTGGCGCTACCTATAGCATGACACCTCGCCCGGACTTGCTCACCGAACTCGAACCGTCACCGGTGAAGCATGTCACATCAGCTTTGGGGCAGCGAGCGGAGGTGAAAGGCATGGGCAAGGCCATGTTTAAGGGTGCTGATGGGAAGATAGTGGGCCTCAAGAATGTGCTTTGGGTGCCCAGCCTTGCTGCCAACCTGATTTTTGTGCGGCGGTTGGCAAAGGCCGGCATGGACACGAACTCAAAGGGAGCCAAGACCTACACCGCAAGGCTTGGCGATCGGATTCTTTGGGACCTTCATGAGGACAGAGATGTCTACAACGAGATGTGGCAGATCCCTGTGGTCCCAATGCCTAAGGAGAGGCAAGTGGCAGCAAGCGTCAGCACCAAAGGTGGAGCGGTTGGTAGCGGCGATTGCGCGGACGGTCGCGCTAAGGAGAAGGAGTCCAAGAAGTGCAATCTTGGAGGGACCAGCAAGCTTGGTGAACCTATGGAGAGAGGTGCAGCAGCCAAGGAGCAGCAAAAGGGTGAGGAGAACCCCGAGGCCGCAGCGGAGGAGGACTACGGAGAGAGTATGTGGGGCGCTATTGCGAGCGCGGCATTCTCCAATCCAACTTCGGCTACGGGGGAGTGTGATTGGCTCACCTTGCATCGGCGCATGGGGCATGTGGCCCTGTCCATCTTGCAGCAGCTAGTAAAGAATGAGATGGTTGCTGGCATACGTGTGAAGGGGGAGCCCGATGAGGTACTTGGCTGCCCGACGTGCATGCAAGCCAAGTTCACCCGTTTCCCATTCTCTAGTTCGGAGGCAACGGCTAAGGCACCACTTGATGAGGTGGTGATGGACGTGGTGGCCCCCTTGAAGCTTGGAGCTGCTGGAGCTGAGTACTTCCTCACTAT